ATTTAATTTATATTATTTTTTCTAATTATAATTTTTTATTTAAAAATTACGAAATTATTCTTAATACGAATATTATTAGATATTATATTTATTAAGAATAATCTCGATTATAACCTTAAATATTTTTGGATATTTATATTTTTTAAGGTTTTTTAAACATTATATATTAAATTATTTATTATTAATATATTTACATAAATTCTTATATTAAACATATTAAATTTAAAAGTTAATAGAATAATTAATTTTTATAAAATATTTAAATTTAATAGGAAAAATAACAAGATGAAGCCCACGAACCCGAATGCTCACACGTATGTTAATGGTACAGTATCAAAACACATGGTTATGCAGTGACGCACAATACCTTTCTGCAATAGATTAATTGAACAGTCTTGTACATGTTTCCCTTGTTACCAGTCGGCAGTGTGGAGTGGAAAGTGTAGAGTGTGGAGTGTGGAGTGTGAAGTAAGGAGTGTGGAGTGTAAAGTGAGGAGTGGGGAGTGCAGAATGTGTAAAGTGGAGAATGCAGAGTGTAAAGTGTAGAGCGCGGAGTACGGAGTGTAAAGTGTAGAGTGTGGAGTGTAGAGTGTGGAGTGTGGAGTGTAGAGTGTAGAGTGTGGAGTGAGGAGTGTAAAGTGCAAAGTGTGGAGTGTGGAGTGTAAAGTGTAGAGTGTGGAGTATGGAGTGTAAAGTGTAGAGTGTGGAGTGTAGAGTGTGGAGTGTGGAGTGTAGAGTGTAGAGTGTGGAGTGAGGAGTGTAAAGTGCAAAGTGTGGAGTGTGGAGTGTAAAGTGAGGAGTGTAAAGTGTGGAGTGTGGAATGTAGTGAGGGGTGTAAAGTGTGGAGTGAGGAGTGGAAAGTGTAGAGTGTGGTGTGTAGAGTGTGAGTGTGGAGTGTAAAGTGTAGAGTGTGGAGTGGGAGTGTAAAGTGTGGAGTGTGGAGTGTTGAGTGGAAAGTGTGGGGTGAGGAGTGTAAAGTGTGGAGTGAGGAGTGTAAAGTGTGGGGTGTGGGGTGAGGAGTGTAAAGTGTGGAGTGTGGAGCGTAAAGTGTGGAGCGCGGAGTGGGGACTGGGAGTGTAAAGTGGGAGTGTGGAGCGTAAAGTGTAGAGTGTGGAGTCTGGAATGGAAAGTGTAGAGTGTGGTGTGTAGAGTGTGGAGTGTGGAGTGTAAAGTGAGGAGTGTAAAGCGCGGAGTGTAAAGCGCGGAATAAGGAATGAGGAAAGCGCGATACCTATTACGCAAAACGATATAACAACTTGATTGGAAATTTTCGAAAAGGAAAAATTTTGCGGCTTTGCCGATAAATACGATGATGCCACAGGAAAAATTAGAAATTCGAGACGAAACGCATGGATACAGAAAAACGAGCATTTCATATGAGATTACATTTTATTTTAATATTTTTAACACATTATTAAACACTTTGGAATATTATAAAGTACTATTCTTGCTACGTATAACGGTATAACAACTTACTTGGGTTTATTTGAATAGGACACGTTTTCGAGCTTCCCCTATAGACACGGCGAGACCACGGGAAAAATAGACGTGCGAGAAGAACTAGGTGGGAATACTAAAACGAGTATTTTATACGAGATTTCCTCTAATTTTTACACTTTGTACCCTTAAATTCGACGTTTTCCTACGAATTTTCCTTGGAACCTGAAAATTTTTAACCCTAAAATCGATGTTTCGCGCGAGGTTTCCGTTAATTTTTACCACATATTAGAAAATGCCACTGCTGGCACAGAATTTGCATTTTGTCATTACTTGATGCAACTCTGCCAATACGATTTACAAAAAACGCGCAACAGGACACGTCTAAAGCGCTGCGCCTGCCACGAAAAATAACGATAGACACGTCCAAAATGATGCGCCTACTACGAAAATTGCAATATGTTTTATGAAAACATGATTTGTGCCTGCCACACAAACGATTTTTAACACGTTATAAAACACATCTGAATGTCACGAAGTACCACACCTACCACGCGAAACAAAGCAACGACAAGTCTAAAACCTCCAAAAATAACCGCCTCTGCGTCTAAAGTGCTGCGCCAATGCGTCTAAAGTGCTACGCGAATGCGTCTAAAGTGCTGTGCCTGCCACGAAAAATGACGATGGACGCGTCCAAACTGCGCCTGCCACGAAAACTGCAATACATCTTCTGAAAACGTCGCAAAAGTATTGCGCCTGCCACGCAAAGTGATTTGTAACACGTTGCAGAACACGTCTGAATGTTACGAAGTACCACACCTACCACGCGAAACGAAGCAGCCAGACATCTGAAACCTCCAAAAAGGACCACCTCTGTAAAATTTCCCATA